TCGGAATAGTGTCGGATAAGACACGCTCTTAGATCGTTACTCACACTTACGTGTGGCTCCAACGGTGATGTGAACAGCTGCCCATAGAACCTCGTGCCGCATGCATTTGGAGATACTGCAGTGTAGACAGGTTAAAATTGTTGATTTTCTAGTCCGGTGTGTATGTAATAACGTTAGTCGCTACAAACTTGTCTTTTTACAATGATAATCCAATACATAAACAGAAATTAAGATTACGGCGCAGAGTCTGCGGACTGCTCTCTGGGAGCGGCGGCAGCATCGCGCTCTGGCGGCACGGAGGACGTCACCCAGCGCTCTGCTGCCGGGTGCCAGTCACAGGCTCAGGCACTGAGTCAGTTGTGCGTCATCGGCTAAGTGCCTCTGTCTGTTTAGTTGCTTGTATGCTGTCAAATCTACTGAAGACTGCATCTTTATATCCCGTCTAACAGCCATGAGATTAAGAGTGTGATCGGAGAGTTTTTGTGTTCTTCTGCGGCGGGTCTTGCTTAACTTAGCTCTAACCGCATGGGCAGTTTCCACGAGCTTGTCATTGATATTGTCCACTGTATTGCAATATTCTAGGCACTGAAAACGATTTTGTAGCTCGAGCTGAAATGTTTCGAGACTATGGATTAGAGCACGAGGGGGACGGAGCGTTGACTTTATCAGACGTGATCTCTCCAACTTAACGTTTGGGTTCAGTGTGCCTGTACACGCCCTGAGCTGCCCCAACAAACGTAGACTGGACTAGGGCCCATCAGTAGTCCAATCGACGAGCAGCAGAGGACGGGGCCCAAAATGCCTATGGACAATTGACCAACACAATAGAGATAAGGCTAGGTAAATAAATAATACGTACCTGGTTCCGAAGCTAAGACCGCCCCAAGGCTTGGTCAGGCAGTAGGTAGGTGTAGGTGCATGTAAGTGGTGTGTAGTAGTATTTATCTATGTGACCTGACCCAGCTGAGGTGATCAACTTCCTTCTTCATTTCACTATTTCAGTCTATCAACGTTCATCGTTAAATCAAACAAGTGACATCCGACACAAGCAACGAAAAGTAGTTCATAGTTCAATACTCAATGTTCCGGATTCATTTATCACCAAATTACAATCAGGGAACTAACGCGATCTCTTCACGAGTCAAAAAGTTCAGCGTTACAAACAACAAACTAAATTCCTTCGTACGATATTAAATACTACGCCCGTATTAAGACTCAAAATCCGCCTAGCTGACACGAAAACTAACTACATCGTCAACATACAAAAGGCACTTAACGCGACGGTGCAATTAAACATTAGCTTTAACTTTAACTTCCAAAAATAATTAACCGGGCTACGCCTCGAAATGGAATGCGAGAATTAAATTCCAGACCGTATGTTGCTTCGTTATCGCGTGAACGCACTAAAGATAAGCAAAGTAGAAGCGAAACACTCCAATAGTAAGTTAAACGCGCACAAAGACTCAAATTCTAGACCACAAAACCAAAAAAAAGTGGTCGCGCGAAATCGATGCAGCGGTCACCAAAATACGCTAATAGGCCTAACCGCTTCTGTCGAGCTACTGGTCTCGCACTCACGAGGCCGAACGCCGGGAAGTGGCATACCGCTGCCCCCCCTCCCCCCGGCGTCACGCACGTCACCTCACACCATCGGGCGATGCGCCCAGCCAAACGCGATTGGATGGCGTGTCAAATGCCCATGTTTGGTCCTAAAGAGTGCACCTCACCATTCCGTGATCGCCGTCAATCTCATTTTTTGTCGACCGTCGTGGCTTGACCAGGTTCATTTCCTGTGGGGCCGCTTCTAGATGAAAGAGTTCATCATAAAGAGTCCCTCTTTCTCCATGAAGTCGGCCAGCTGATGGCCACTCGGGTTCCGTTGCCCTATTTCGAATTTCTCTACTTTCAGCTCTCTTGTGCCTAGTTTTGCGTTGAAGTCTCCCATTAACACCGTATAGTGGGTTTTGGAGGAATGCATGGCTCTAGAGATATGCTCATACATTTCCTCCACCTCCTCATCGGGGTGTGCCGAGGTTGTTGCGTAAACCTGTATGACCTTCAGCGAATACCGTATGGTGATTCTGAGTGTAAGGTACGCAACCCTCGTCGACACACTCCCAATCTTTACAACGTTGTTAATGAGAGACTTGTAGACGATAAATCCGACACCTCCTTGGGACAGATGGTCGCCCTCCCGGTGATAGAACAAGTTGCCGGATTCGAGGATTACCGTGTCCTCCCCCTCTCTTCGGACCTCGGATAGTCCTATAATACTCCAGCGCAACTTGTCTATCTCTTCTTCCAGCTCCAGTATCTTCTCGTCAGTCCTCAGGGTGCGTGTGTTATAAGTTGACAGGTCGAGTCGTCGTAGATGGCAACCGAAACACCACCGGATATTCTTAGCACCCCCTGCCCCACCGTTACTATGGTTGCCACCGTAGCCAGGATTAGCGGGGCCGCCGGGGACTGGGGGCCGTCTCTTAGTAACTTTATCCATTTGGGGGGTATATTGCCATAATTACCACGCTTGGTGAGCGGGTTGGCAACTGCAGTTTTTTGTTGCGATATTGCTGTTATCAGGAAGATGCTGCTGCCCATCTCCTGACTATTTTTCACTGTCGCCTTTTACGACACCCACGGGAAGATATGAGGTAGTGGATATTCTTAACCGCCACTACACGGCGATATATTTGGGAATATCAAATGACTTAAATTATTTTATTCTATTCAAGTGTTGCCATTTACTATATTCATACTATTTTCGTATACGCTTTGTAAGACTACCAACACAACACACAAACACTAAATATTATTGTATTAAGTTATTATTAGTAATAACTATACTATCAGTAATAATAAAAATAAAAGTGATATGGTTGAAAATAAGTCTCTTACAAAGAACTCCCCACAATAATACATTATCTTAATCATAGTATACTATTCAACAATTTCATTTAATGTTATGGCAACACTAGCTAAAAAAAATTGTTGCTTTTTTACTGGCTTTACGGCTCTAATCCCCTTCTAATAATGTCACTGTATGACACAAAGGCCTTGGAGCCATGTCAGAAATATACATTTATAGTATAAAAAAGTTAAAGCTACAGCCTAAAGACGTCCCACTGGTAGGCACAGGCCTCCTCTCATTTCTGAGAGGGTTATAGGGCTAGGAAATATCCGCCGCGCTGCCCCATTGCGTTTTGATTTGCAAATATATAATAGAGATGCTTTAGCACCATAGACCACATACATACCCTTCGGCACGTTGTACAGAAGTCCGAAGAGTACAATTTGCCACTATGTCTGGCGTATGTGGACTATGAGAAAGCCTTTGATTCCGTCGAAATTTGGGCGGTGCTGCAGTCCCTTCAGCGGTGCCAAGTTGACTGTCGGTATATCGAAGTGTTGAAGTGCTTGTACAGTAGGGCTACGATGGCTATCCGAGTACAGAACCAGAGTACGAAACCTATCCAATTGCAGAGAGGTGTAAGACAGGGTGACGTCATATCCCCGAAACTCTTCACCGCTGCATTGGAAGACGTTTTCAAGCTTCTGGACTGGAAAGGATACGGTATCAACATCAATGGCGAGTACATCACTCACCTTCGATTTGCCGACGATATAGTCCTTATGGCAGAATCGCTGGAGGACCTAAGCACTATGCTCAATGACCTCAATAGTGTTTCCCAACGGATAGGTCTTAAGATGAACATGGACAAAACAAAGATCATGTTTAATGTCCATGTCACACCTATGCCGGTAGTTGTTGGGAGCACTAAGCTCGAAATTGTTGACGAGTATGTTTACCTGGGACAAATAGTCCGACTAGGTAAGTCCAACTTCGACCGAGAGGTCAATCGACGGATTCAACTCGGCTGGGCAGCGTTCGGGAAGCTACGACACATCTTCTCGTCAGACATACCTCAAAACCTTAAAACGAAATTGTACAACCAGTGCGTGTTGCCAGTGATGACTTACGGAACTGAGACGTGGTCCTTCACTGCTGGCCGTATGAGGAAGCTCAAGGTCGCTCAGCGAGCTATGGAGAGGGCTATGCTCGGAGTTTCTCTGCGTGATAAACTTAGGAATGAGGATATCCGCAGTAGTACCAGAGTGACCGACATAGCCCAACGGATTAGTAAGCTGAAGTGGCAGTGGGCCGGCCATATAGCTCGAAGAACCGACAACCGATGGGGAAGAAAGGTTCTCGAGTGGCGGCCTCGTACCGGTAGGCGAACTGTAGGGCGTCCCCCCACGAGATGGAGTGACGACCTGGTAAGACATGCAGGAAGTCGATGGATGCAGGTGGCTCAGGACCGTGCTTTGTGGCATTCTTTGGGGGAGGCCTATGTTCAGCAGTGGACTTGTGAAGGGCTGTAATGATGATGATGATGATGAATAGAGATGCAATAATCTAAATACTCTCAATTATGTAGGTGGGTAGATTATGTTGAGAATGTATTAAGTTAACATCTAACAACCACACGACGCAAGACTTATTCTAAGTTACAACATATATAACCTAAAAAGATTAAAATCTAATTCTATCTTTTTTTTTGACGCCTTCTCAGGACAAAATTATTTGACAGAGTTATGAAGTCACTGACGCTTAAGATTTTAAGATATTTTTCATATATAGACGCTACCATTCCTTCTCAACTAATTTTATGTATGAAAGTCTGCCATTGTTCCTTTCACAAAATATTCTACAATTGCAACGATATAGATGATACATCTGATGTATTTTTGATTAAAAAAAGTAAAAAGAAGTTTTATTAACACGCAGTTTTAATAATGAGATACCACAGAGTACAAAAATCATAGATAAGTAATTTCTATGTACGAGTAGTACTACCACAGACAAAGAAAAATTATTGTCTCTGTAATGAGTAAAGTACAATATTATTATTTCAACACTCTCACCAAATTTGAACTTTACATCTTAATATTAAACAAAAAGGAGTGATCTGAAAACTCTCAAAAAAAAAATATTATAACAGTTATAATTGCTTTACACCGATTTTACTTCTAAGATATTGAAATTTATCTTTTGATAAAGCTTTAGTAAATATATCAGCATATTGCTCTTTAGTGCTCACATAATTAAGATCTATTTGTTTCTCTAAATATTTTTCTTTTATAAAGTTATATCTTATATCTATATGTTTACATCTTTTGTGGTAGTTTACATTTTTAATTAAACAAATTGCACTTTTATTATCAATGTTTAAACAGATTGAATTCTGATTAAATTCATTAATGTCCATTAACAATCTCTTTAACCATATAGCCTCTTTTGTCGCAGAGCATGCGGCCATGAACTCTGCTTCAGTAGTAGATAATGCTACACTATGTTGACGTTGTGTTGCCCAAGTTACAGCAGCTTCATTTTTCATAAATACATATCCAGTTAAAGACCTGCGTGTGCTTGTATCTTTCGCATAATCTGCATCACTATAAGCTTCAAGGTTACTCTTTGAAGGTAAATAACATAAACCATAGTCTTTTGTTCGTTTTAAGTATCTCAGTATTTTCTTAACAACATTCCAATGAGTTTGATCATAACAATTCAGATATCTACTCACCAGACTGACTCCATACATGATATCAGGTCTGCTTTCCACAGCCAGGTGCATTAGTGACCCCACAGCCTCTCTGTATGGAATATTCTTGTCTGAAGCCTCAGTTCCCATCTCCAGAGTAGTATGAGGATCGACTGGAATTTTATTGCAGTTAGCATCTTGCATATTGAATTTACACAATAACCGTTCAATATATTTTGATTGGTGGATGAAAATATACTTCTCTAATTTTTCTATTTGTAATCCTACAAAATTCTTTAGTTCACACTGTTTAATTTTAAAATTTTCTTTTAATTCAAAAATTACTTTATTTAATGAGTCTTTTGAACCAGACATAAGAAGCCCATCATCGACATACAGTAGCAAGTAAACTTTATTGTTGTTTATATTCCCAATGTAAACACATCTATCTGCATGACTATTAATAAAGCCATATTTCTTTAGTAGACTGTCAAATTTTTGATTCCAGCACCTTGGTGATTGTTTTAATCCATAGAGTGAACGATAAAGTTTACAAACCTGATTCGATTCAACTTTCAAACCTTCGGGTGGCTTCATGTATATATCTTCCTTTACATCTCCATACAGAAATGCAGTTTTCACATCAAACTGGGAAATTTCTAACCCATGTTGAACAGCTTCTGAAAGTAAAACTCTGATTGAATCATATCTTACTGTAGGAGAGTAAACTTCGGTGTAGTCAATGCCTCGTTTTTGTCCACATCCCTTGGCACAGAGTCTTGATTTAAAGACTGGACCAGATGGATCATCTTTTATTCTAAAGACCCATTTACAGTCAATTAATCGTACTCCCTTTGGTTTTTCTATTAGACTCCAAGTTTTATTTTCTTCATGTGCTCTCAACTCATCTTCAATTGACTGTTTCCACTTCTTTGCATTCACATTGTTTAAAGATATTGCTGCAGAGTAGGTTTCTGGAACATACTCAAATTCTGAAATTTTATTTGCACATATATACGTATTAGCCTGCATTATAGCCATTCTTAATTTTGATCTTGTTGTTATATTTCGTGTTAATTCTGTTGGATCAATTGTTTGGTCTGGTTCATAAAGGGATCCTTCATCTGAGTGAAAAAATTCATCACTGCTTTCAGACTTTGTTTCAGTATCTTCAGGTACATTTTCCAACTTTGTATCATTAGTGGTAGAGTTATCTTCAATGGTCTTAGGTTCTGAGACCGACTCTGATAATGGTATCATTGCATAATCTCTCTTAACTGAACTTTCAATGAAAATCGCATCTCTGCTTATGATTACTTTTCTTGTCTTTGGATCTAAAAGCCTATATCCTTTTGTCTGTTCACTATAACCAATTAAAAATCATTTTATTTGTCTTTGAGTCCCACTTTTTGGCTTTTTCTTTTGGAACATGCACCATGGCTTCGCACCCAAAGATTTTTAAATTAGTAATGTCTGGCCTTTTACCACTCCACTTCTCTTCTGGGGTTAAAAATTCTAACACTCGGGTTGGGCACCTATTTGTGATGTATGCTGCAGTTGATACGGCTTCTGCCCAATACTGTTTTTGCAGTTTAGCATTCAGTAGCATGCATCTTGCTCGATCTAAGAGAGTCCTATTCATTCGCTCTGCCAAACCATTTTGTTGGGGAGTGTAAGGAGCGGTAGTTTGATGTGAAATTCCAGACTTTTTAAGGAAAGTTTGAAATTCATTACCTAAATATTCAGTTCCATTATCTGTACGGAGAGTCTTTATGGTCAAATCAAGTTGGTTCTCCACTAAAACTTTAAATTCTTTAAATCTCTCAAACACGTCAGATTTCTTATTTAATATGTATATAAATACTTTTCTGGTAAAATCGTCAATAAAGGTAACGAAATAGCGAGCTCCTCCGAGAGATGGTACCTCCATAGGTCCACAGACATCTGAGTGAATGAGCTCTAGCTTTGCTTGTGCTCGAGATCCTTCAGGAGGAAAAGGTATTCTTGATTGCTTTCCTTGTAGACATGAAATACATAATACATTTTCTTTATTTTCTAACTAGATTCCTGCAGATTCTGTTAGTTTATTTAAATCTTCAAAATTTAAATGGGCCATTCTCTGATGCCATAGATAACAATCATTGTCTTTTGATGCGGATATGTATGCTGGAACGCTGTGAGTATTTAGCCTGTACATATTATTTATCATCTTTGCAGCGGCAACTTCTTCATTGTTTTTGTTTATTATCTTGCAACCTTTCTTATCAAACTGTACTTGACATCCATTTTTAATGATTTGACTAACAGAAAGAAGATTGGTGGCTAGCCCAGGAACATAGAGAACATTCTGCACTTGAATTGTATTCATCTTCCCATTGCTACTGGCAACATTTAAATTTATCTTTCCGTAGGCTTCTACAAAAAGTTTCTTATCATCCGCCACCTTGATGGTACTAATCGGAGGTGGGTTTTTATCATAGAGCCAATCACTATGCATAGTCATATGCATTGATGCTCCAGAGTCTATGTACCACCCATTGTCATTGCTTGTTGTTGCAGAAAATACAGCAACATAATTGGTACTATTATTACTATATATTACTGACTTTTGTTTCTTATTTCGACAATATTTACTTACATGCCCATATTTATTGCACGTATAACACCTGCGATCTTTAGACTTATTGATCGTGTCTGAAGCTTGTTTGGCAATCTGCGACTTATTTCCTTTGCTTTTATTAACATAATATAAGGCATTAGAATCAGAGTTTCTCACATCTTGAAGGAGTTTAGTTTTCACAGAGTCAGCTGATATTGCCACACCGGAGCTTTCGAGGGCCATAATCATCGGCTGATAGACCTCGGGTAAACCAGCTAGGAGCAAAGTTCCCAGCCATTCATCTTTTACATCAAAATCAATATTTCTTAATTTATGTGCGATTGACATAATTTTATTTACATAGTCTTCAATGTTTTGGCATGTTTCTAATTTTGTGGTTATCAGATCTCTTAATAAGCCAACTCTGCGTGTCAATCCACTGTCATCAAAAGCCCTAGATAAGTTAGTCCACACTTCTTTGGCAGTTTTGGCCTCTTGTATATGGACATAGTTTATGGGATGAACTAATAAAATAATTTTGGACTTAGTTTTCGTATCTTGTTTGACATCGACCTTTTGTTCTGCTGTGACACAATGCCATATTCCTCGTGTTCAAGATATGTTTGGACGGCAAATCTCCACGTTGGATAATTCTCTCTTCCGGTCAGCTTTTCAATCAGTGCCAGTGTATTATTAGAAGACATTTTGCTGTGCACAGAAACACGTGTTGACTGATGGTTATACTTATACGGAACTACTAATATGACAGTTTTACTTTTCCTTTTATGACTTATACTTTTCTTATTAACATTTGGAAGTAATAAGGTGGACTGGGCCCATAACCTGATGTATTTTTGATTAAAAAAAGTGAAAAGAAGTTTTATTAACACGCAGTTTTAATATTGAGATACCACAGAGTACAAAAATCATAGATAAGTAATTTCTATGTACGAGTAGTACTACCACAGAGAAAGAAAAATTGTTGTCTCTGTAATGAGTAAAGTACAATATTATTATTTCAACAAAATCAATACCATAAAGACATTAGGAGCGTAAAGGCCATAAGGCTTGATTAAAAATATTTTCGCTTTATTGCCACTAAGAATGAAGCTAAGAATGACAAGCGCATGAAAACTTTCCATACGGTTGTAGCTAAGTACTGCAAGATCCGCCGCAGAAGAACACAAAAACTCACAATCTTAACCTCATGGCTATTAAACGGAAAATGAAGCTGCAGTATTCAGTAAATTTGACAGCATACAAACAACTGAACGGACAGATCTTCAAATGCATGCGGCGGGACTAACGAAACTTTAATACTGCTCGTATTGTTTAAGCGATCGAGCGGAACCAGGGTTCCACAGTCTTTGCCAGAAATCTGTCTGTAAGAAAAAACCAACTGTCCAAGCTGAAGACCGAATGTGGCAGCATTGTTTCCGGGACACCTGAGATTTTGAGTGAAATTGAGAGGTTCTATGGGCAGCTGTAAATGTCATCGTTGAAGCCATACGCAAGTGTGAGTAACGATCAAAGAGCTAGTCTTAATCGACACTACTCCGACATCATGGACGTCATTCTGAGCGAGATTAGAATAACTCTCCAGAACCTTAAATACGGCTAGACCTCATGTCATCATCATCATTACAGCCCTTTACAATCCACTGCTAAACATAGGCATCCCCCAAAGAATGCCACAAAACACAGTCCTGAGCCCCCTGTATCCGTCGACTTCCTGCATGTCTTACCAGGTCGTTACTTCATCTAGTGTCGTGACTCCATGACGTGTACTCATGGTAGAAGAAACACGCAAGTGTGAGTAACGATCCAAGAACAAGTCTTATCCGACATTATTCCGATAATATCCCGGACGTCAATCTAAGCGAAATTAGAATAGCTCTCCAGCACCTTAATAAAGGACAGTCCCCGGGTGAGGATGGAATTAAAGCGGAGCTTCAAAAATTGGGTGGAAAACCGGTACTTGAAGTCCTTTACTTCTATCATCCTTAACAAGCCGGTTTCCGAAAAGGCTTTAGCACCATGGACCACACATATACCCAGAGGCAAATTGTACAGAAGACGGGAGAGTACAATCCGCCACTTTGTCTTGCGTATGTGGAATTTGAGAAAGTCTTTGTTTCCGCTGAAATTTGGGCGGTGTTGCAGTCCCTTCAGCGGTGCCAAGGTGACTGTTGGTATATCGAAGTGCTGAAGTACTTGTACAATAGCGCTACGATGGCTATCCGAGTACAGAACCAGAGTATGAAACCTATCCAACTGCAGAGAGGTGTAACACAGGGGGATGTTATATTTCTGAAACTCTTCACCGCTGGACTGAAAGACGTTTCAAGCTTCTGGATTGTAAAGAATACGGTATTAATGTCAATGGCGAGTACATCACTCACCTTCGATTTGCCGACGATATAGTCCTTTTAGTAGAATCACTTGAGGACATCAGCACTATGCTCAATGATCTCAATAGTGTCCTTACTTACAACGGATAATTCTTAAGATGAACATGGTTAAAACAAAAGTCATATGTAATGTGCATGTCACACATGTGCATGTCGCAGCTCAAATTTGTTAACGAGTATGTTTACCTGGAACAAATATTCTGGCTAGGTAAGTCCAAATTTGACCGAGAGGTCAATCGATGGATTCAACTCGGCGGGGCAGCGTTCGGGAGATAACGACACATTTTCTCACCAGAAAAACCTCAAAACAAGATTGTTCATCCAGTGCGTGTTACCAGTGAAGACCTATGGATCTGAGACTTTACTGCCGGCCGTATTAAAAACTCAAGGTATCTCAGCGAACTATGGAGAGGGCTACGCTCGGGGTTTTTCTGTGTGATGGACTTTAAAACCAGGATATCCGCAGTAGAACCAGAGTAACTAACATAGCCCAACGGATTACTGAGCTGAAGTAGCAATGGGCCGGCCGTATACTTATAGCTCGAAGAACCGACAACCGATGGGGGAAAAATGTTCTCGAGTGGCAACCTCGTACCGGCAGGCGTAGTGTAGAGCCTCCCTCCAATAGATGGAGTGAGGACCTATTAAGATATTCAGGAAGTCAACGGATGCAGGTGGCTCGGGACCGAGCTTTATGGCATTCCTTGGGGGAGGCTTATGTTTTGCAGTTGACTTGTGATGGGTTTTAATGATGATGATGGTATTAGCTTACATTTATTCAAGAGAAATTTATTTAATAACTTTTATATATACATTAACTTTTAATAAGATTTCATATTTTTTCATGAATAAGGAATTCCTAAAATTTGAATTTTTTTTATTGAAGTAATGAGTATTTAGTTAAAATTCTTTAATATTTTAAATTTACAACAAACGGTCTTGTCTGGGTGTAGTAATGCGGCTTGTTTCTGGATGTCTCTCATCACCTCCCCCGAGGCACGATAGCATAACCACAAACTCGAAATAACATATGCCTCGTACTTCTTACCGCTTCCACGTCATATTAAAAAGCACCAGCCTGCAACATTCCCACTGCTCCTAACATCTCATTTCCAGTCAAATGTCGAAGTTGATTCAAAAATATGTTTAAATAGCGGTTTTCAACAATAAAACAATTACTCTAAGTACAAAATTCACTGCCTCAAGTTCAATTCAATTTTTACCCCCAGCAGATTTTTTTTTATTTTAAT